GTCATTCAGTGATGATACAAAATTCTGTGCCCTCCACGTATTTACATTGGAATTCACTCGACCATTTCTGAGTGCCCTTGCTTTGTGAATGACTACAGTCCTGGATAGACGCGACTCCATGTTTGCGTGTACGAATTCCGTGTTATTTGACTGTTTGCTTGTTATTATTCAAAGTGGAATAAAATTATTACGTTCAATACCATGTCTAATAAACACGTCGTACATACAATTTGATTATGATATGATATGTTGAATTTTATACTTTATGTTTACAATTACTTTTATTTTCATGAAAGTATTGTTTACATGTTTCATAAATCAGCATTACACTTACACGAAATGGATGATGCGGTGACGATTCAAATTCCCGACGGAATGGCTGATGGTGATGTCATATATAGTCCAATCGAGGGTAGAGGGGGAGGAAAAGAGGCAATATATTGGTACAGCTTTGGCGCTATAGTTCCAGATTTGTCACCAGACCCATACCCTTTCAAGCTTATACAGGGTAAGATAAGTGTTATGAGTTGTTCACTGTACGTTAAATAATCATATGTATACAACATGTTGTTTTATTTTCATTATATATTGTTTGCATTATTAAAGATCCAACCCCTTCTAAAGAAAACGAAGCTCAACTTGTGGCAGTGGTTCCCCCAGGATTTGACACTATTCACGAATACGTTGTTGATCTAGTGTTAGAAGATTTGAATGACAATAAATATTTCACTTGCACTCTGACACTTCAAGTAACACTTTCTTTATATGTTGATGCCCCATACAACGCCACAATTGGAGAACATGCAACAGTGCCCCAGACAATTGCCAATATAACAGCTACAGATGCTGACGGACAAGCGAATGATGTAACGTTCATCATTATTGATTCGAATCCTAAAGATGCCCCGTTTCAAATTGGTCCAGTTACAGCTTATCAGGATACATCAGTTGCAGGTTAGTATTTTTCATAGACTACGTATTGACTAAATTCGTTCCTTCAAATGGGTATTCGACTTGTCACCCCTGACTTTATTTTTACCGTGCATACAGTAATGTAATGTTCTATCCTGTTGTATAACAGTTGCACACGAGCTCACGTTTCAAAACTCATTACACCTCATTACGGATCTTTTATATTTCAACACAACTGCAGACCCTATTTAACTCAATACACCTATTGCTCTGTACAAATTAAAACAACTGTAGACCATATATTATCTACAGATTATTATGTAACTCATCATTTTTCAATCCAGTCGAAGTTACGCTATTGATAATCGATCTTGTCACTAAACCCAGTTCTGTTTCATTCCAAACTACCATCTGCAGAACTTCAGAATGTGAATTTACCCGGATTTGACTACGAAACAGGGACAAATGTTTACGAGTTATTCATCACAGTTTCGGATACATCAGGAGGAGATGTGGTGAAAACTGCTACAGTGACTGTCTACATTTTAGACGAACTGGAACCTATGATAATAACCAATTTGCCAGACTCGATCACTATATCCGAATCTGTACTTGGGAGTGTGTTTATAGTTGAGTGGGATCCACCTCGCGAGCCGATATGGATGTTATCTACATCGCCGGTCAATGGCCCATTTAGTATCAATGCAACAGGTAAACATATGACAGTATACAAATGTTATCTCAAGCAGAGGTGGACATACAGTTTTAGCGACGATTCAAAGAACTCTGAGAGGTCTCTTTAAAACTGTCTGTCTACCTCTGTTAGGGCAAGTATTTGTATTGTATCATAGCGAATAAATCTCGTCTTTACATGATAGATATTTTAGTAGCCTTAGGCATAATTGTAACCATCGCATAAAACGCATCAGAGAAACAAATAAATAATATTATTGTTCACACTCAGTTTGCTAGTTAGTATCATACTACGCTAATACATGTACATTTTCAGTATTCTCTTCACATGACTGTAAAATTTCAAAAGACGTGGTTGGGGGAATGGACTATTGTTTTTACTAATTCCAACAACCTACCACGGCCCACGTCATGACGTGAATGTTTGTTAAGCAGGCTTCCATTAATCTGTTTGAATCACAGTTATTTTTAATTCCCACTTTACTAATGCCTCACTATTTTGGGACTGGTCACCGACACACCCGCATCGAGTACAGAAAGCTGCTAGCTCAAAGCAGGAACATATTGTTATTCTTCCATTTTCCATCCATACCCATTTGGGGATGGTAGTTTAGGATTTGTCACTTTATCATTATTCCATATGATTCCGCTTTAGCAATAACTACCTTCAAAGTGTGTGTGTATGCGTTAGAAATGTAGAGGAAACATGAATCTATCAGCGGCAAACATTGACCTTGCAACAAAAGATAATTCATGTTTGCCAATTGCATCTGTTTAGATTACCCTTGACTTGCATACTACAAGTAAACAGGCAAACAGAGACCAATCTTCTTTTAGTTCACAGATGAATTCTTCCAAGTAGCCAGGTTAAGTTGTTTCACTGGAGGCCACAGATTGGTATTTCCCCCTTTGAATCTGCTCTGATACAAAATTTGCAAATAACCTGTAACCAATTTCGCGTTGTATATATAGATCTTCTTCAGCTTTCACTGGCATAAAGAATTCGTTACTTGATTAAATAACTCATCACTCTTTACTGCACAAGGATTTGTACAGGTTTTAAAAGTTGCCATAACGTTGGGATACAGCAGAATAGGGACAATGGTGTTGTGTTCAGCCAGGAGAATCCATTCCTTCCATCTGTCATCATTGAGCTTATGTAGTTCGTCTTGCAACTCTGGAGAGACCAAGACAAACTTGGTTCATGCAGAGAGGGGTTATGAGTTATGCCCACTAACCCACCAGATACTTTCATGGACCTGTTAATTTGATCAAGAGCATGGTCAGCACCAAGAGTAAAACACGCTACTTGTACATTCATTTTCTTCGCTCACTTTCCTTTAAGAAATTCTCCATAAATTTCAGGGTCAGACTTTTTGATGAACTTCATTTTTGCAAGATATAATGGAATTATTCGGGATAGTTGAAGCGACAATGTACGTGGTGAACATTTCAAGAGCACGTAAATGCAGCTCCCAGTCCAAGTACGCACTGTACAGACAAACAGCATTATTTACCAAACCATCTGAATATACTGACACTAACATGGAACAAAGGCTTGCTTCCTAAGAATTGGTCAAACTCACTCATCTTCTCCATCACTTCCGGTGATTTGTTGACATATGATTTATATCTTCAACACTTATATCTTTGAATGCTTGTTTAAGATTATTTTTAAGGTCTTTAAAGTTAGTTTGTAGCTGTGTATGTTTTACGAAAAATGCCTTCTTATACAATTTACATAAATCTTAGAGTGTCACAATATGTGCTGTTTGATCTTTTGCAACATGGTTTCCATCTATGATCTGTTTCACGGTAGCAGGTCCATATAGATCAGTTTCAATCCAACACAAGTCAATTATTCTCAACGATAGGCACCAATGAGTCATAATTCTGCCGTCACAATATGAAGCTCTCTGGGGAGAAAAATGAATATAATATCATGTTGAAATATTCGAGGTCGCTTTGCAGGCTTGTAAAGTCCCATATGAAGTGATATGACCCGTTTTATGGACCTTGTGCCTGCATTAGGATTTTTAGCAAGGTCTGCCATTAATTTGGTGGGTGGGTAAATAATGGTGGCAAAAAAAAACGATGTCGTTTGGAAAATGACGTCCATCTTAAATTTATCAACTCATGTTATATAAATATTTTTAACAATTCTGGATAGGTTGGCATCTCACGGGATTTTTTTAATGACCTTTGACCCACACTATGTTCGGTATAAAGTTATTACATGGTATCCTTTACCAAAGCTCAAATTGAATAGTGGTGTATCACGTTTGCCTACTTTGAAGCCGGGGTTGGATTTGCTCAATTTAGAATGATAATCGGATTTTACAGAGGGATTGTGACTTACGAGGAGGAAACAAAGACTTACGCCATCCCTCTATTTTATTTTAGAAAGTTTAGGCTCGGAACTGACAATGTCATGTAGATTGTACAAAGAGGATTACATTTACATTTATCACCTCTAGTTGCGCTGAATTTCGCATTGGCTGTATGACAACATCTGACCACATATCTTTATAGAATTGTGCTTAAAATCTAAACATTGAACTTAAATCGATCATTGAGGAAAACATTCATATTCGATGCTCGGTAAACGAAAACAAGTTTTTTTTTGTAAGCACGGAACGATGAGGTCTTTGATGACAACATCGATTTAATTGCATTTGGAAATGACAATTTGAATATTGATCTTGCTATTCAGTATTTTACAATTTATACACAGCTAAGCAACAACATGTGAACCGAAATTACACTGCAATGGCTGGTTCAACAAACAAGCTTATAAATATATAAATGACAATAATAAAACCTTTTGGGGTTCTTTTAATTATTATTATCTTATTATCATTATTTAATCCAAATGTAGATATGTTACTATACACAGTAATGGAATGATATGAGTCATAATTTCAAGATTTCTTTACCTTTAAAAAAATGTGATTATACCGTTGTATCATTCTTCATTGAAACTAATAAATAATATTTTAATTTCTAATTTAGTTATTTAAGAGTAACGGTAAACATACTCTGTTCCTTCGCTTATTAGGGTCGGTGAATGTAGTCTCGCCGGGATTGAACTACAAACAGCACACCTCTTATGATGTAACAATATTTATTGGCGATGAAGAAGGTTTTACAGACAATAAGGTGTTACACGTCACGTTGTTACCTAACCTAGGACCTGAAATCACCAATCTCAATGATACTATACAGATTAGTGAAATGAGTGCAGGAGGAACAGATATTTTTGTTGTACAAGCTGTGGATAATGAAGGAGACGACTTTTACTGTGTCATGTTTGCCAATCCAAATGATGGTAACTTTGGGTATAACTCGTCCAGTAAGTATATAATTTGATCTTTTGATCTATTGGGGTTACAAACACTAATTCGCTTTATTCGTTCTTTTTGAAATATACTGTTTCAGAATTGTTACATGGACGCATTTAGCCGAGCAGTATACGTAACGAATAGTTGCCACCATATAGGAACCGTTCGTGACATATCACGTGACATGCTACCCTTTTGAAAGTGTTGATGCTCAACAATCACGTATGCTAAATATATACAGTTCTAGATATTCTATAGGGAGTGATTGTATAAGGAGTGACCATTAGAAACTTGAGGAAATTAGAGGAAATGATATAAACAAATCCCAACAACCACCAAATTGAAACTGAAGTAAAAATGTTCTGCTCAGTTTTGCTACTATTTTTCCTTTCAAAATTTCTAATAGTCGCCTCCATTGATCATGATTGGCTTGTATGCAATTTATCCTGTCACGTCATATCAACCATTACAAAATACAACAACCTACTGTTTTTTTGTGTCTCGCTTTCCGACTTCATCATCGTTTTGTCATGTTCTATGCGGGTCCAATTCGCCCTATACAGCTGCTGTAAAATATATTGATTGTTGAGTTTGTTTATTGGGGTTTGAATATGTGCTACCTTAGCTTATTTGTTTTATTTGCGGGATGCACTCAACTTTATGAGACGATGAACCAGACACATCTTGAATATATGCGAATACACGTTAGAAAATCAGTTATAGTTCCGCGGCTAATGACGGCCAAGTGAATGTTCAATATTTACTGGAATCTAATATTTTGATTGTTGACGTAATTTCAATTGATGAATTGGCGGTATGATTCTCGAAGCTGGTCATGTTGTGGTGGCATTTAGTTTTCAACATTAAGGTTTTGAAATAGATGACACAAATCAAAACTCTGTTTTAATTTTCGAACGTTTCATTTTATTGAATTGCTAGGGAACCTTTTCCGTTATTTGTATATTTTCAGTCGACGGCGAGCCCAAGAACATAACATAATAACCAAAAACAAGCGCAAACTACAATGTTACCAGTCAGTTCTGTTTTGACGCCCAGTGTTTAATATTCATATAGATTAACACGTGCTCCTTTCGTACAGCCACGCTATCTGATTCGTGGCTTAATTAAATTGGAGATTGAAAACAAGGTCAACGCTGAGTAAGTCAGCGTCCTTGTGAAACAAGGAACTACTCACGACGAGATCAACAGTCGATTGGCCACTCAACATCCGAGCACTAGTGGAATTTCTGAAAGAAGCTTGCGACATTTTGTACTCATCGTGGTATACACACTCTAATAAATGTGAATCGCATTGTAAGTTGGGTGTCTGTGAACAAAATTAAGAGGACTAAAACATTGCAACCCGCCCCAAATCACCCTTTCTGGCAACGGAGTATAATTTTCAAAAGTGAAGTATGACGACCAAGCGACTGGCGACTGGTTCATTAATGAGCGAATGATAAGCCGCGTTGGGGAATGACCATCATTAACCATTGACCGTTGTAGCAAAAGTTAAAAAGTTAACAATTTCTAATCTAACAATTATCCTTTCCTTAAACACAGCTAATTCTATCTACGTCATCAACTCGCCTATTCTGAATTTTGAAACTGTGGATGAATACACCTTGAGTGTAACGTGTCATGATTTAGGTGTCACTAACACTAAGCCTGGCACACCTAAAGTACTGACTGTTCAGATCACTGACGAGAATGAAGCACCGATACTTACTAACCTACCAGCAACAGTCAAAGTACCTGAAGACGCACTCAATTCGGTATCGATATTCCAAGCTGACGGTTATGATGTGGACGGCAATTCTCTCAGTTTTTCTCTCACAATAGTCTCACCTGTCTCCGGGCAAGGGAAGTTCGCTGTAGCCGACTCAAGTAAGCGATAGTTATTTGTGTCATTTTTTTAAACCAAATACAGGGATTCATATCAAGTAAATCAATGATGTAATGTTTAAATTATCGGATCGATGGAACAATGCATATAAGTTGTCTAAAGGTGAATATAGCTGCAAATAGCTGCAAGCACCGATAGTGGAAGTACTTGAGGTTAAGTATTTAATTTAAAGAATTGAGGAAAGTAAATTGCTAGCATCAACATGTATTTTAATTTCATAGTGTGTATGTGTGTGTAGCATCATTCACCACAAATACGGCGGAAGACGGCCGCCCTTGACGCCACGTGCAAGTGAAAATTGTACCTGGCCGGTTCGGTTCTCACAGGACTGCTTTCACGTGCATGCATTTTGCCAATTATTTAAAATAACTCATACTCACAGGTTAATACTGTGACATTATTGTTATCAGGCAAATATTGGTTTTATAAAACGTGATTCTTACCGATTTCGAGGTGGGAATCATCAGTGGATTGTTCCTCACAAACAAGCTTGTGACAAGTTTCTCACAATATTCTGTTTTATTGGGGTGTTACATTTTTACAAACAGATGGGAACGATGGTACTGTTTCTATATCTAACAATCCTGCTTTCGACTTTGAGGATGTGCAGCAATATTCATTGGTGTTGGAAGCAACTGACGGAGAATTCACTGCAACTGGTACTCTGACTGTTGATATTATGGATGTAGCCGAACCACCAGTATTTGTGAATGATAACCAAGATGTATATATCGATGAAGAACAGGTGAGAAATATGTACTCCTTTTTCATGCTTGTTTTGTAATTGATATTCGCCATTGATCAATTTAATTTATGCATGGCTAATTTATCAAACATATCTTTACAGATTGTTGGGACATTAATATCTCTTGACTGGACTGTAACTGACGTGGATGATGTATTAACTGATTTAACATATAATATGATTGCTGGAACTTATTCTCCATACTTCAGTTTAACTGATGGAACCAATCCAGAATTACGTATTGCACAAGTCATGGATTATGAAGCATCCTTCCCAGTCCCATTTCCCATAATGTTTACTGTCACAGACCCAGCTGGAAAGAAAGATTATCTAACAGTTAATGTATACCTTCAGAATATTTATGACAATGCACCAATTTTCACCCAGATAGTATATTCCGCAGATGTGTTTGATGGAGAATCGCAAGGTAGTCCTGTACTGCAGGGTCTAGCAACAGATGTAGATCTATTTGACATCATTACGTACTCCATAGAGCCAGCAAATACATATTTTGTTATTGACTCACAATTAGGAGAAGTAACTGTAAATCAACCCATTAACTCTTCAATCAGTGGGGATATCATTAACTTTACACTGGTTGCTACTGATCTGGGATCGAATCAAGACACAGCTTTTGTTCAGGTTACTGTTGCAAGTGTCAATAAAATTCATGTGATTATTGATAGCAACGAACGTCCATATTGGAATTGGGAGGTGCCTTACGATTTGACCAACGATACATATGTTAACAACGTCGTCACAAATAACCAGATCTTCGGTAGGATGGTATTCTTATAAATGAATATAAAATTACATACATATATATCAACTCACGCATGAACGAACACACAAATTATTATTGAGTTATGTTTGTGAGATATTGAGTTATGTTTAGTTTATATATGTTGCTTTATTGTCTATTTTGATGGTCACGTAATTATGTCACTCTCACACTGATCTTGTTTTGTATGTATTAAGCCAGACCTTCGTTTTCACAAATTCGATCACATTTGTAAATTATATTTCAGAAAAGAGTGGTTCGATCATTTATAAGTTATATATGCCAAACACACGATTTAGAATTACAACAGATGGTCAAGTTTTCGTAGCAGGCAAACTCATGGCAGAAGAAGAATACATATTAATGTACTATGTAGAAGACGATCGCATACCTCCAATCAAGGCAGGGTGAGTGTACTCTATTCATATATATCCACACAAAAATCATGTTAGTAATGAAGTAGATGTGAAATCCACTGATATTGAAATTATAACACAAAAAATATACAGAATATATTATGTACAAAGTACATTTTTTATCATTATGTCGATACTTTTTGTTTAAAGCTGTTTTTATGTTTTCAATGTTAATAATAGACCACTGTAAAACCACGTGGCTGATAACGTTTCTTAGAAAATATCTTAACGTAGATTGTGCAACGATCAACTGAAGTGTGCTGAATCGTGACGCACAGTCAACTGGCATGTTTATCGCTGTTATCATTTGAAATGATTGTAGTTATATTCATTATTACTGTCATTTACGTTTCCATATGTTCTGCAAAACTGTTGTTTTCTATGTAGCTGCTCTCAACATTTCATTGACATGTTATATGTCAAATTCAAACAATCCAAACATTAGCGCATTAGTGTGTACAATACATCAATCATATCAAAATATTGTAATGATGATAACTGAAGTCATCATGTCACCTAAATCATATCACATGATTTGTACGTAATCATGTAACATAACTATTAAATCATCAAATGAAGATTTTCTTTGATCATGATGAATTATAAATTGTGTATATTATTATACACATGTCACTGCAACGCCATAAGTTACAGCATACCTTTATTTTACGTTATTGCACGGGGTATTTGCAAATTCCAAATTGTGGAACGAGTTCGCGCGTAAGTGTCCTTTAATAATAAAAATAAACATGACAGCCCCGGCAAACCCTCTACTGTATTCGTGCATATTTGTTGATATCCTCATAATAACCTCATGATATTAATACTTGTATAAATTGGTCTCAGAGAAACAAATATGCCAATATGCCAGTATTTCCCATTGAGATTTGAACAGTAACACCACTCAATAGGTTACACCAGGTATGACCATATCGATCACTCTTGGTCTGGATACTGGTGGTGGATAATGTGCAGGTCCCAGATACAAGTACATCCAAATGCGGTAATTGTAAACGACGTAAGACACCAGGAGTGCTAATCACGGAGGCATGGCAGACCCACCATTTATTTATCTTCTTCACAAATGTTCGTTAAATCGGAATATTTCAGCATGACTCTCATTGCTTAGAATTAAATTGTTAATTAATTCATATATTGATCTTCTATATATCATCTACAGTGTTTCAATGATTCGTATTGACACCTACATACCACAGATGGTTCTTGTGAACATACATCTGGGCATTTCAGTTGCTGATTTCACGTCCTCCAGACAGACTGCTTTTATTTCTGCTTTGAATAAACGTTATAAACCGTGGAAATACAGAATATCCTCCATTCGCAGTGATACAACGGTGTCTACAAGAAAACTTCTTCAAAAGTGAGTAGTATAGCAGTAACAACTACAAATGGCAATATGAAAACATATAAATGTACAAATATCTGGAAATAATCCCGACAATGTGTACAACAGAACTGGTGATGGTTGTGAACCATGACTGCCTCAGACTGCAAGAATATTGTGTAATGGAAGGGAATGTAAAGGGAAATGTATTGTACTGTAACCTCTCAATATATCTGCATTAACTTTCACCGTGAATGACAATGTGGGAGTTGACTTAAATGACGGGTAGAAGCAAGGCTGGTCACATTTTGCGAAATAGTAATTAGTTAGAATTACCAGACAAGCAATAGAGACATTGAGATATAGTTGGAATTGAAGCAAAGGAGTTATTAGTCCATGAAACAAGAATTGTGTGTGGGGAAAGTTGTCATGTATACAATCATAATAAATTGAAATGGTTTTAGAACGGAAAAACTGTTTTATGACTGTAAATAATTATTAACAATAAAAACTGAAATTTAGAAACTATGAACAATAAATAATAAAACTTGGAAACTATGAACATTTTATAATGAATAAAAATGCTGTCCATTCTATTTATTGTATTATGCTCAATGACGTACCTTCACTCTTGAACACTTAAAAAACATTGTCTCTTCTAGTGTTGTATGAACCTGAATGAAAGGTCCGGAGTCACGGCGAATACTTCTAGCGAGTCCCGCTCTAAAAACCTCTACCAGCCTAGGTCTTGTACATAAAGCAAATGATGTATTTACTTTTTATTGCTTATTTTGTTATTTTTGTTACAATCATTAATGTGCAGGGTAATTACTCTGGCCAATGATATTGAACTTAGCTCTTCGATGAAGCAGTGGTTTTCTTCTTCAAATAATTTAAAATACCCTTAATACCCTTAATAGAAGTATGTCCATTGTTTCACAAGAACGACTGTCCCAGGGGATTTTCGTCTTCTCAATTTCTCAAGCTAAAGTTTTTTTTTACTAGAACTAGAACGAAATGTCTTTTGGCAGCACTTCTTGCATTAATTTTCAGTGCCCCAACAAAAACAGAAAATACTGTTCCTGAAGCACAGAATTTACATGTATTTTTTTTCCAAGGCCATTCACGCAAATCAAAGCTATTACCGCCTCCATAGTTGTTAACACTTTGCAGCCCCCATGATGGATGTATTGTGACGTATTTTGACCCCCGGATTCTGACCTTGCATTTTGGCTACATTTACTGACCTTTCATACCAGTTCAATTTTCTTTAAATATTTCATCCTGATTTCATGATAGTTAATATTTAAAACTAACCTATTTTACTGGTCAAAAGACTTATCACTCCCATCATGCAATCCTCAACAGTACTTCCACAGATACAGCGACGATAACTAATATAAATACAAAAAACCCTCGCTCTCGGAATAATGAATCCAACAGTATTTTCCTATTCATTTAATATACTGCATCAAAGCCATTCTAAAGTGTCGTTTATCACTGTTTTATTTTCAGCACAGCAATTGTAGTAGTCTATGCGTTAAAAAACGATCTTACCAATTCCCAGGACAGCGTTGACTCTACTAAGGAATTTGTATACTTTGTGGATCTTGCAGAGGCAATGCAAATTGATTCAGATGGTACACCTGTGGCTCTTTTAACTGGAACAGATTTTGACGAATTCCCTGTAGAAAGTGTGAAACCAACATATGAACTCATTAATACACATAATAGCTATAGCTGGTGGCTTGACACACCTGAAGGAAATGTTACAATTGCCATCTTGATATTATTGGTGATAATTGTCATTGTCTCCATATGCTGTTGCTGCTGGTTCATCATTCGCAAAAAAGCCCGAAGTGATAAACAAGAAATTACTTCAAGAGCCGATGTTGACAAGAGTGGTGAGAATAATCTAAATAAGTAAGTTCACGTGATGTTATCGTCACATATAATTAGACATTATGAACAGCAAACGAGGGCTACGCTCGTTTATCATCTCCCGCTAAATATGCTAATATCCCCCAGAGAGGTCTTTATCTGCTAACATAACATACTCACACAAGAAATGCGCTACAGCATAGTTTCATAGTTGCAAATTTTCAATTATTCCAACGTCGTTTCTTGGACTATACTACTGTCGTAAATTTGGTGGATGTGGGTTTCTATTTGCGTGACAAATGTTTTAATTTTTTTCTTTTCAACATTTATTTTATTTTATTTTATTATTCACTGGCTGACATTTTATTCAACGTTTGTTTTGGTAATCGAAAAGCCTCACATGTGGCGATATGTAAAGTAATACAAAATAAGATGTAATGAAAATAATATTATATAGTAAAAATAAAATAAAATAAAAGAAAATATAAAATTAAATTAAATTCACGCTGCAAATTACATCAGATTTTTTACATGAGATTGATACTAATTAACATTAACAAATATATTGGTGACGAACTATGGAATACATCATCAAAAATCCATCAGGAAATATACATATATGTTAATGCCAGTATCCGTAATTAGCCAACTAAATGTCAATTCTTCTCATAGTCAATGAATTCTGATCCAAACTAACCAAGTTTAACTCCATATGATGTGCATTCCATTTATATTACATATTTATAATAAAGTGATATATTGAGCGTAGATCCACTTAGCCCAATTAAATACATAAACTCGGCACAAAATAAAACCAATACACACCTGAATTTCAAAAGAATAATTCTCCAAATAATTGCATGCACCTACCACTTTCCACCATCAAAGATAACTATAGACTCAGCCGAATCACTAAACCATGACCTTTGACCTTTACTGACTCTAAATATTATAATTTTTAATCTAACCTGAATTCCACTCACCCAAACAAACAAACAAACAAACAAGTACTGGCGTAAAACCCTTGTGCAATTTTCCAGTATTTTGTCTATGTGGCCCAGCTGAGCTGTCACTCTACGGGTAATGTGTGAGTCCACCATTAAGAATCAGGTTATTTCTGATAAAAAATCAACTACGATTTTAAGGCTTGGTTATTCTGCTGGCATGTTTATTTGGAAAATTCCTGCTTGACATTGCTTCTAGTTAAACATAAATACCATGTTACATAATAGTTTACTATGTAAGCGTCTTGTGTCTATTTAATTCTAGCTCATCCATTGTACATATATTAGAAGATAAGAAACTCATTGAAAAGGATGGGATGATTACTGATCAGTCAGAATTACAGAAAAACGTGGGCGACAGTTTAGATGAAAAAGATGCTGACAATAATGGTATTAAGAAGGACCTGGTCGAAAGCGAGTGAGTTTATGTGATTGTATCAGCACACGTAATTCAAATTGTTTCTATAACATTCTAGGTTGTTACCATTTGTATTCGTATTACATTTGTATATTCTCATGTATATTTACTTCAAGCGTGCCAGTCGTTGAGAAGGCAGGTGTTAAGAAACTCATTGAAAAGGATAAGCTGTCGAGGGATCAGTCGAAATTAAAAAGCGGCGTTGGGGACAATTTAGATGAGAAGAACGTCGACAAGAATGGTATTAAGAAGGACTCGAACGAGTGAGTTTAATTATATCAAAACACATAATACAAATAATTTCTAGAAAACTCGAATATGTTGTTTCCTTTTGTAATGTGAACTTGCAATGCATATGGTCCATTCTCTTCAAGTGCTTCCGTTACCAAGAAAGCAGGTGTTACGAAGCAAAATAAGAAGCTAAAGGACAAAGATAATCTATCTAGTGATCAGTCAAAACTAAAAAACGGCGTTGGGGACAATTTAGATGTCAAGAATGTCGACAAGAATGGTATTAAGAAGGACTCGAACAAGTGAGTGTATGTAATGTTATAAGCTCATACAAAATGGTTTCCAAGAAATTAAAGATTAATAATGAGAAAAATGGGAAAAAGAAGCCAAAATATAGTGATCAGTCAAAATTAAAGGGAGACCTTTTAAAAAAATTTGATGAGAAAGATGGTAGTAAAGAGTTGATTTTTTTAAAATTGGATGAGCTCAATTTAGAATATAAGTCGTTTCTCGTGTTCAAGATTAGTTTATAATACATATGTCTGTTTTCGTACATATTCTCTCAAGGTCATCCGTCGTTCATAAAGCAGGGGATACGAATCTGAATGAAAAGAAGAAGCTGTCTAGTGATCAGTCTAAATTAAAGCAAAGTTCAGGCGTAAAAGATGACACTCGGACGTCAGACAGTGCGTCGAAGAAAGAGTTCACTTCATTGTCGCAGATGAAATATACCAATCAGAAAACTGGGAAGGATGCCACGGTAGAGCATAATTCACTAGCGATTGAGAAAGATGGTACACTAGTGAATACTCTATCTGCACCTGAAAATAATAACAGGAAAGACAGTGTAATAGGTCCTCTTCCGGATATGTCCAAGCAGAATGAAACAAAACCAAGGAAATTGAAAAAGGGTCAGTCAATGTCTTAACACATTGGTTGTAGAAAAGTCATTATTAGGTCAATAAGCGACGAAACAGACAAAAAGGTTCAAGCATTTGACTGAAAGAAAATGAACAAAGTGAGATTATGATATCGGAGATTGTACTAAGTCAGTTCCATTTGTTTCTCAATGCAGGATTGTCGACAAGAAGTCTTGTTTCAAACAAGAACTTGACTAGCAAAGGTGAGTACATAATACTTTATTAAGATCTAATAGAATCAGTCATTGCTGCTGCACTCTGCATCAACTTCATTCAATCCTGGCAAAAAATTCCATTTAGTAGTGGTCTTCCTATTTTCAAAATTTAATTCAGTATCCTACAAATATAGATATGGAGACTAGTTAATTTAAGAAATTAAAAAGTACAGAGCTATTAATCATGTAAGAATTATAATGTCGTTTTATGAACCTTAGCATTAAAACTACTGTGTTATTACGACAATTTGGATGGAAAATATGTTTTATAACATGCTTTGGAGTGCGGTTGTCTATATTCAGAACATAAACTAATATCAAACTAATATCGATTCTCTCGTATTCAGAAATGTCACAATCAAGAACCAGTCTCCAACAAAGTCGCTCGGGTAAGTACACATTGATAAAACATATCAAATTGCGCATTTTAGATTTAAAAGATAATAATGGCAACAAGGAGGTAACTGCACAAATAATAATATTATAATATAGTATAGCAATCATTGATATTTAAATTATCATTCAATAATAATGTCAGAAATCCACGAACTCTTCATGCACTGACAAAAAATCCGCAAATATTCGATAACAATCTTATAATTGAGGTGAACAACGTCTACTTGTAGCTGCATGGTAGAACTAGATTGATGTTCTTATTTTATATCTTTTATTTTATATTTGTAAAATATTTTTCGAACTGCCGTTTTTTTTAGCTATTGTCAAAATGTTTTTGTTTCTGGAGTGACCTTCTGAATTTAGGTTCTTCTCAAGTCTGTCATAAATATATATCTAATCTGCTGTACGAAATTATTGATGTTTTTGGGCTCGGAAGCGCAGTGGTATTTTTTTAGTTCACTGTACATATAGAGCCATTAAATCGTTAGGACAGTTTCCATAACCATTTATATGCAAAATTGTAAATCTAAATAAAGTCCAATAAACGTATATCCAATGTCACGTCTCAGTTATCCACAGTGTTATCACTATCTACCACGGCTTGTGACATATGTGACGATTTAGATGAAAATCATGGTGTCTGTATAACATGCTTTAGAGTGCGACTGTCTTTATTTAGGACATATACTAACAATTCAATTCTCTACATGTATAAACCCTCAAGTATAATGTTTAAATATGAAATACTCACGGTGTATTTTGAAACCCACACCAATACATATATTTTCATTGCAGAAAACAGAGCACGAAAATATATGGGTACTAAAGCCGGTTACAAATCACATACGTGTGTTTACTCTTTACAACTAGACATACTAACCAAACTTTCTGTACACAATACATTCAAAGTTTACATAACAATGTAACGTCCGCCTATTAGTGTCATTGACCTCCCACACAATGCATAACCATTTACAAGAAAATTCAAATAGAGTCTAATAAACATGTGTGTGACGTATATACAATGTCACGCCATTCTACAAACAATACGAGTGATGTAGTTTTTTGAACATAGTATTGGAATTCCAACGAGAACAATCTGTGATGTACACCATCATTGTGATTTGAATTTACATGCAATTTACACGTCACAAAGGTAATTTTACGTTTTGCACTTATTTGCCTAGCTGTATATTTTCAGGTCAATATTGTATCTATTATACTATTTTTTTCACTTGCTGAATATTTGTCAGTCGTTTGTTTGTTTTTGTGGTTGTTTTATTTTTACTACATAATTTTAATTGATTATATTTTACAGTTAGAAGACCCAGAGATGACAAGGACAATTTTAGTATTTCCAGCAGAGTAACCGAAAAATTCAAACCTGAAGGGCTGAAATGGTTTTAAACATCAAATAGTAAAATCGCGCTCATTTACGCTTCTAGTGATATAAGTAAATATTCACAACTGGTGAATCATATACAATGCCTTTAGTCTATAACATGCTGTTGACAGAACAAGTATCAACCTCATATCTTCATTCCTCACTTTGGGGCATCCATGAATAAAACACATTTGACCATGTTATATACACCATGTAATTGACATTTGCACGTTAAATTTATTTTGTTCAAACTCACAATTTACGTGTATAAACTGATTTGGCCAATGTTGTCCCTTGTCATAATAAATTTTGAATTGGCATGTTTCTGACACCAGAATAGGATTTGTTTTGGTTCCTAGAACTGAACAAACCATGTTGTTATTGAACTTGTGTTGGCATTGCATGTGTCCGCTTAAATTGATGTTATAGAATGTTACGTAATCATAGATAAGTAATTCGAAAATTATTCATTGCAGGATTTTCATTTCTTCAAATCACGAACGCGCATTACGTTTGAATTTTGTTTATTATATACACCAGATGGAGTGAATAGTGTCACTCATTATCTTAGCAGTACTCATCCAATATTATATAATGACAGATGATACCTGTCAAATTGTGAAACTATTGATTCATTACCCGCCATATATACATAACACTGATCGAGTATATCGAGTAGTATACACCTGTCAGTTGATTTTCCAAACTTTTTAAACAATTAGCAAAATGTAATTCATGTACATGTTTGTACCAGAGCACATGTCACAATTATGTTAAGTTAACAATATAAACTTTATAAACTTTTTTTAGTGTTATGTTGTTGTCACAAAAATAGCTGGAGTGTCTTCTTTGTTCGCATTTAATATCGTATCTTACATTTTATTTTCTTGTTTAGAAATGAGGTTTGTCTGTATATCATATTTTAAATATATCATCTTCTATATTCATACTCATCTATTTATTTCTGTGATTTTTTATGACAAATACAATGGTACAATATTATGCATGCATTTAAACATCATTATAGCAGACTGCATTTTCCATTGCTGGTTAATGGGGTGCCAGTTTAGTATCGTCAGTGTTTCAGATGTCGATGTAAACTTTTCCCTACCAAGGACTAATAACTTGGCAGCTCTGTTATGTAAACGTTGAGTTTGATATTACTACCACAGGTCATCCATACGACAGCACAGTATGTGATTAGGGGAAATACTAGTAGTGCCTTAACCATTAACTCGCATGTTTTTTTATCAAGAAATTTACAAATTCTTCAAATAGCTCCAAGTCTTCCTGAAACAGATTGGGTTATCATAATGCCATGATCATTAAAATTCAAATACTGGTCTAAAATGACGCCTAAATATTTAAAATTATCAACTACATCAATTTTAAAATTAATATTTTGAATATTAAAATATTCACGTTAGTGTGTTCCAAACCCTGTGGTACTCTAATTTGTACATGGGAAGTGCTGGACAAACTTCCATTAACATTTGTACACTGAGTACGTTCTGTCAAATAACTTGTCATCCAATCATGCTCAAGGCCTAATACTAAACTTCAACAATTTGTCAAGCAATAAAACATAATTGACAGTATAAAAGGCCTTTGACAGGTCAATATAAATTGCGCCTGTCATTTTCCCACTATCCATATTGGAAATAATATAATCGGATACATCGAGAAGTGTGGTTTCAGTAGAGTGGGATAACCTAAAACCAGACTGATTATTTGAAATTATACAGCTGTGTATAAACAGCATGTTCTAAGATCTTAGGAGCAATAGGTAGATAGATTGGTAGGGGTTCTCGAGTTTCTAATATAGCTGAAAAACTGGTTGAAACAAAGGAATGCTTGTGAGGTCATCGCTATGCATGCCATGCTTGTGCAAAATGAAATCAACATCATTAAACAATACGCATATTTCATGTTTATTCAGTACGAGTGTTCAGCGTCAAACAGTGATATCACATTACATCTAAAGTCTTCCACTGTCCAATGAACATATCAACAACCGGGTGGTATTTGTTCATATTGCACATACGATTACAGTATTAACTAATCACGGTTGCATATCTACTCATATGCCACATATCTTCCAAGATGCGTTTAATGGTGTCTCGCCCATAATTGACCTGTTGTGTCAACTGCGAATACCTGGCGCGTCTTCAATGCGTGAGTGTAAGCCGGTGTATTGTACAATTAGTCTCGCATGGGTGCGCACGTATGCACAATCACCATTACCCCTTCAAGTCACTTGAAAGTGAACACGAATGAATACTGACCGTCGAACCATTGTTTATTATATTTGTCCCTTTTATGGCGTAGGAAACCTCGCTCATAACAACCACACTCGATAATCTAAACACGTGGGTATGACAATTTCACATATACGACTGAGAAGGCGAAATGCCTATACATATACATATATCGTATGCATGAACAACATTTACCAATCTACAACCGTGCCAGGCGCACGCCACTGTGCTGGGTATGACGTTGCTAATCTAATTATATATTTTTTCTGAGCAGGTACACACAAACGTGAAACAAACTGAAAAGCGGGTATATTTTAAACGTAGAGCGTTGGAAGGGGTGGTTTCTTTAGTTACTAAGTATGTGAATAATAAACGATAAAAAAATTGGACCAAGACTGATATAGTACTAGTGATGATGCTAACCAGCTTGGCCCGGCCGTGTCCCCGCTGTAGATGTGTTAGCTTACCCTTTCGAAATCAGTCGCCGTGTTCGATATGGATATCATTGGTAATCACGTATATGATGTGACGCATGGATATATATTAATATATTAATTGTTTGGGTATTGGAGAGTTCAAGTGAGACGATGACCCAACAGATCATGCGGGAATTTCGGTTCAGTTATGTTATTTATTTAATTACACATTGTGCAATGACAAACTGTTTCATGCGTTATCATACCAAAATGTGGACCAGGTATGTACTAGTAGCAAATATTGGTTGTCAAAATAAGGCGATACTTTATGAAACAGGGTTAAAATGTGTGAAATAGTGTCCATTTTAAGTACAGGTAGTTTGATGATGACCTTAACTACATCAGATTGGGAACGTTAAGCAGGTTAATACTATTTGAATTGTTCTATCAACGTCAATTTACAGCTGGGCTTTCCTTTGAAGATTTTCAACTATTGTACTTAGATAATAGAACAGAATATTGTGTAGTAGTGTGAGACGAGTACTACATCAACTGGGGTTAACGATAATGTTTGTTTAGTTAAATTTTCGTAGCCATAGATACTGATCGCGGTATATTGTGCGTGGTGGCACCATTAGTAATTAATGTTAAGAATAATTCATCACAATGAGTACTTTTTACTGCGATGTATAGGGTAAAAATGTTTATACGGAATATAAAAAGTCTTTCAATAAATAACCCACAATTGTCTGCATCATATACGCACGATATTAAAGGTTATGTCTTTATGAACCAATGAATTATTCACAATAGTAAGTTCACTCTGTGTTCATTGCCAGGCAATCAACTAATAGTAAACATACGCACCTGCACTGGTGGCCATGTTGAAAATAGTATATATTGTATATGAATGAGCAACACCAGTTTGTATCTCTCCATAATTCACTGGTCAAAACTAAAGGCTTAATCTACAGAAATAATGAAATAACAGGTAGACACACTACACAGATGGATGAGTTAAAACAATTCAATACTGTTGAACACTGTAGCAATTGTTTATTTGTCCTCAGCCCCTCCAAGCCAGCAACTAATAAACTTGCCCTGCAATATCTTGCTTCGTACATATCAGAATATGCACAGTAGTCAAAATATGAAAATAAAATAATAAAAGAATATCAAAGCAAATTCAGAAAGTGCACATTGCAGAAGTAGCAAATATAATAGTAAATATTCCAATGGAGTTTTGGGCGCTTAACCCGTGCTAAGCGTTTACGCACACTTCGATAGCCCGTGCTAAGGCTCTGGACTGGATCTTAAAAACGGGCCAGATTTAATCTGTACAAAAACAAAAACAAGCAAGCTATATAATGATAAATAAACGATCATTAAATATTCAACAATATAGTTTGATAGAGCATGTAATCACAATGCAAATAAACAATATTAGATAAAGTCACTGATAGTTTGGTTCCCGACCAAGCTGTGCATGTACTGGTCTGTTAATTTTTAACTATACGAGTTGTTTTTACCTTGTTTTGAATTGTGTGCCATTATATACAACTATGATTCCTGAGTGAGTACGTAACCAACCAAATAACGAATGTGACGTTATGATTGTCTCTAAGTTTATGTATTCAAAGCGACCAGACAGCTGAATATTTTTATCGAATCAATTTTAAAATTACGGTACGTTAGGGTACATATATGTCGTTATATTGTCATGAACACTATCGTTGTGTTCAGGGACCATGGAACTTTGTCTCGCTTGGCTGATGTCACTTACACGTAGAGGTAACAGATTCGACCCAAATGAATACACATAAGTTCATTACAGATAGTCCAGCTTTATTCTCCCAAGCAATCAACCGAGGCAACCCCTCGCTGCACCGTTCCCTCCGTTCTTTCTATTCTTTACAAACTCTATATTAAAAGTGAAATCTCTAAGCGTGGCAGAGTAACCATGGGACCAGTCAAGTTGCCACTACTAAATACATAAGTAAACATATATGTATCAAATTCCTCTA